ACATTATCGAATACTAAATGTGGACATATTTTCTAAATGGAATTTGAATTTTGATTCGTTATATTGTGAGAAACTAATCATTTTTGTTAGACTGAATTCATATTTATAAGTATTATAGTATTGACATGTCAAGGTATAAGAAGAATGATTTGTACTTCGAAGGTTGGAGCTTAATATATTGGAATTGGACCATATTCGCTAAACAACTAATTGGGCTCCACGAGAGAGAAGCCCATTAGAGAACGACTCAAAGGCGCGGAAAGAGAAAAAACATCACACCTACTCTTCACCCGCCTCGCCGGCGCGTGAAAATCTTTCCCAGCTGTGGTCTGCTCCGGCCACTCACCGAAAATGCAGGTATTCGTTACGCGCTATACCTCCGTCTGCGAAAACTTTTCAAATTTTCGCAATTGAAAGTCCCCGCCACAAAAGTCTCTCTCCCTTAAATTCCTCGGTTACGTACACGTCCCGCCCTATGCTCTATCTTATTGGTGCGTGAAACCTACGTCACATATGCTCGAGTGAGTCCGCGCCCTTCATTCGTGATGCTATAATACTTCCCGGGCACGACTCTGTGCGCACCTCAAACGCTTCATCTGGTCGATGGTTCTACACGAACTCACCGTTGCCGTACACCTGGAATCCGATAAAACAATCTTCGTTTATAGAGAGAGGGGGAAGACGAAGAGTTCTAGAGAGAGAAAGTGTGGAGCGAAAGAGAGAGTGCAAGATCTGATCGAAACCCAGGTAACAAGCTCGAAACCCTACTGCGCCTCGTTAGGTCTAAAGCTCGTTCTTTTGTCCGTTCTATTTCTCCCTCTCCTTATGTGCACAGGTTTATGTGTCTTCGTCTCTGTGGGTGAAAGCGGGTGAATTTGGATTTCGTCTTAGAAGGTCCCACGTAAGCCCTAAAAATTTAGAGTCGCAGGGTCGAAAGTCCTGGAAGTTCTGGTTTGCAATTCTTTCATTTCTTTGTTTGTAAAACCCTAGAATTAGACACAAGACTGGGATTTGATATTAGTTTTGGAAAGAAAAGGTGTAAAGAAAAGAATTAGGGTTTTGGATGTATGGCTTCCGGGCCTATAGTAGGAGGAGATGACGGAACTAGAGAGAAACAGAGGTACACAGAGAGTAAGGTGTACACGAGGAAAGCTTTTAAAGGACCGAAGAACAAAGCTAACGTTTTGAACACCGTTGCTACCGATACTGCTGCCCCCACAACAGCTAACAACGATGACAATAAGAATAGCACCATTAATAATGGTGGTGTCAATGAGACCGAAAAGAATGACACTAACGTTTTGGCTCTGCCCCCAGCGCAGTCTATTTTTCCGGATGAGAATACGGCTCAGCCAAGATTGAATTCAAAATTGGATGTAGTGTCAGATGACTCTTCCACCTTAAATCGTCGTCAGGACGAACCTCCAGGTCCGAATCCTCTGCAGGACGAACCCTCAGGCGCCAGTCCTCGGCAGGACGAACCCTCAGGCCCCAGTCCTCGGCAGGACGAACCCTCAGGCCCCAATCCTCAGCATGACGAACCCTCAGGCCCCAATCCTCATCAGGACGGTCCCAATCCGCAGCAGGATACTGTTCCCTGTCCTAAGGAGTTGCCATCAGCTAATGGTGCTATCAATCCTGGATTGGAGAATCGTATTAAGATCAACTTAGGCTCAAGCTCAAAGCAAGAAATGCAAGAGCTTCGGAGGAGGCTTGAGCGCGAGCTTGACACAGTGAGAAGTTTGGTCAGGAGAATTGAAATGAAACAGAGGCAGTTGGGTGGCTATGGCAATTCAAATATGCTAGCGAATGATAGAATTGGTAATACCATTGGACCAAGACGTGTTCTGTCAGGGGTAGCATCTGGTGGTGTTCCAAGAGAATCCGCCAGGCCTTTGCACCAGTTAAGCATATCAGTGCTAGAGAATTGTCAAGGAGTCGGTGAAACTGTTGAAAAGGAGAAGAGAACCCCCAAGGCAAACCAGTTATATAGTAATTCTGAGTTCTTGCTAGGGAAGGATAAATTCCCTCCTGCAGAGAGTAATAAGAAGTCAAAACTGAATGGAAAGAAGCAGGGTGGGGGAGAAATGGGACACGGTTTTGGGATGGGATCAAAATTCTTCAAAAGTTGCAGTTCATTGCTTGAGAAGTTGATGAAACACAAGCATGGTTGGGTTTTTAATGCTCCTGTTGATGTTGAGGGCCTTGGATTGCATGATTATTTTAGCATAATCACACATCCTATGGACTTGGGTACTGTGAAAACAAGGCTGAGCAAGAATTGGTACAAATCGCCAAAGGAATTTGCGGAGGATGTGAGACTTACATTTCGTAATGCTATGACATATAACCCACCTGGACAAGATGTTCATATAATGGCAGAGCAGCTATCAAAGATATTTGAGGACAGATGGGCCATAATAGAGTCGGATTACAATCGGGAAATGAGATATGTATTGGATTATGGGACAACTGTTTCTGCACCATCACCACTATCCAGAAGGGCTGCTACAATACCTCCGCCTGCCCTTGATATGAGAAGGATTTTGGACAGATCAGAATCGATGACGCAACCTCCAAGACCCATGAGCATTACTCCTTCTAGTAGAACCCCCGCTCCAAAGAAGCCAAAGGCAAAAGATCCGTATAAAAGAGACATGACATATGAGGAAAAGCAAAAATTGAGCACAAGCCTCCAAAATCTGCCTCCAGAGAAACTAGATACGATTGTACAGATCATTAAGAAGAGAAATTCTGCACTTTCACAACATGATGATGAAATTGAAGTGGACATTGATAGCGTAGATGCGGAGACTCTTTGGGAGCTTGATAGGTTTGTGACCAACTTCAGGAAAAGTTTGAGTAAGAACAAGAGAAAAGCTGAGCTTGCCATTCAAAGAGCAGAAGCTGCAAAGAATGCCCCACAAATGGTATAGTCTTGATCTGAATCATGATTGCCGATTGCTAGCCTGTGTTTGGGAAACAATTATTGTTAACTACAATTACCTTGTGATCTTTTGTAGGCGCTGGAACCTGCTGCGGTTGTGGCTCCTCAAGAAACCATAGCAGGTAAAATATTGAGCTGACTGGTGATGCATGAACTATTATTTTTTAAGCAATTTGTTATTTGTTATTAACTAATTGTTTGTCTTGCTATCTCTGGGCAGGTGAAAGAAATGCTTCTGCATCTTTTCCTTCACAAGCAGAAAAACAGGTGAATAATGGGAGTAGGTCAAGCAGTTCTAGCAGCTCAAGCAGTGATTCTGGATCTTCTTCAAGTGGTACTGCGATTTATAACTTGATAATATATATCCTACTTCTCATCCATGCGCACACAGATTTACTTTTGCCTGTTGCAGTTGAAGACCTAGTGTTCTATCTTTCTCATTTTTATTTATTTCTGCAGATTCTGATAGTGAAAGTTCCTCAGCATCTGGATCTGATGCAGGATCACCGAGGACCTGAATTAATTTAATTCTCTAAGGTATAATCACAGATATCAGAGTCTTAACCAAGTCATGTTCCCTTCATTTGGTCTGAAGTACTGTCTGCATAATTTAAATTTTCTTACCCCCCCCCCCCGGGGAAAAAAAATCGTACATTGCTATTTGCCTTATTTTTCCTCTCTTCGTAGCAGGTGTGCCATGCCTTTTGTTTGTATCCATTTTCATGATTGGGGATCTAGTCTTTTACATATTTGTTTCTGTTGTTTTTCTACCTTTCTCTGTATGGAAACTTAATCAAAGCTTGCAGGCCAATACCAGACCTTTACCACATGGGGGGCTCTATAAATTAAATTCTATTTGGGTTAAACCCAATTCTTGGAATCGCAGTAAAATGGCTACTAAATGTTTGATGCCTTGAACTTGTTTGTAGTTCGGAAAAGTAAAAAAGGGGGTGTGGTTTAATCTGTTGAGCTTTATTGGTTTGTGGGGCATTTGTTGGTCTGTCACTGGATGTAGGCATCTTGACAAATGATTGGTTATGTTAAGATTAATTGAATAAACTATCATTAAATCTATAATTACGTATACATTATTGATGGTTTGTAACATATTTACGCTTATGCATCACTAGTCTGTAGACAGGTGACATCTTGTTATGTCATAATCTAAATCTTAAGCATTTCATTTAATGGTCCCCTCTGAAGTAAAACACAAAGGGCGTACGGAGGGCACCTTGTGACCTCATCATGATGGGGTTTCTGTTCTGTCATTATAGACAATTATTGTACTTTTTTTGGGGGGGGGTTTGCTCTTGCCTTTTTGTATTGGTCAGCCATACTGTGTGTCTGTCCTGCTTTTCAAAATATCATTTTTATAATTCTGATGCACACAAACATGTGGCTCGCTCACATGGGTATAAAATAGAATTCATACGTCACTAGTGACCTTACCCCTTATTAAGAAATTATTTGCCTAGCATAGGTACAATGAATTTTTTTGGTCTTCATTGCTGGCTTTATGATCAAACATTTGGTAACTTTCAGATGGGCCTGGCTTTGACTATGTACTGCTAGTTGTTTTATAAGTGACTTCTTTGCCATTTCAAGTGGCATGATCCTATCCATTTTAGCTTCCCCGTCCTACGTAATAAATCAAATGGATTCAGATTCCAGATTTGTAGTGAAATCCTCGGTAGCTATTTATGTGTGCCAAGTTTTTTGGACGAATGGTGGTCATGTATGTCAATCTCTTGATGTCGTTTTTGTCATTCACTGTGCAGAGCTAAGGTCTGGTCTTCTAATTCAACTATTCGTGTATATGCTCTATTGCCTAGTATCGAGGCCAAAATAAAAAATGCCGAGTATGGTCTTTTTATTGAATAATTCAACGTGTTTAGTCCTTTAAAATGTGCTCAGTTGTGAAAGGCTTGATTGGCTGTCTGAAGAGTATTATCATTATTATTATCAATAATATACAAAATTGTGAAGTTGTGCTAAATGCTCACTGGTTTCCAACCTCTTATTTTCAATTCATGTTGCAGTGTAGGTATTAGAGTAGATAATTGATGACATGAAGATGACATGAAGCTTCCACATTATGGATCCAAATTTAGCAGCTGGTGTAGAGGGGAAGCATCACAGTCAAGGCCACCAGTGATCCTATCCTACAAATGCAGTATGGGATCTTTTTCTTCCCGTTTGTTGGAACTTTGCACCATTGCAGCTCGTGGCCGTATTTGTTTCGACACGGACTTTTGTATAATATTTGGTAGAATGTTGTGATAATTAGATAGGATTTTAGGTAGTTTTCCGTAGCATGTGTACATTGCTAACTACTGCTACTCATTAAGTTCTATTGGTGACTTCTTTCTTTGGTTTTGTGGTGGCAGATTCAGGATTCCTTGGTGTTATACAAAGATATTCTGTAATTCCAACTTCTTGAAGTCATTATTGGTTCACATGAAATCTCATTCTATGTTGTGGTATCCTGAGTCTGGCATTGGGTTGTTAAAACGTAATAACCATAGGGAGATGTTACTTTGTTTTCAATCAAGCGAGTTCATCTTTTGCTCTGCTTTTGTCCCCATGGTTTTGTAATATGATATCCTGAGCATCTTAGGAGTGATCGAGCAAAAGCGAACGTGTTTCTGTGGCTATTAGGCGGTTTATAGTCGAGATTAATACAATTGTACAGCCAAGGGTTTTATTTTTTCCCTCCATGCGTGCCTTATATTAGTTATTGTGATTAAGCTGTTATTTCGTCGGCGACGGTGAATTCTTCCGAGAACCAAGAGCTTTGTACGTTTGCAAACCATAACACACAAAAGAAATGAGCTTGCGATTATGAAGGACCCTTGACAGGCGCCTTTTATTTTTGGGTATGCCAAGCTCAATCCAAATGGAGTATTTGTTTTGATCCAAAAAGACATGCCCTTAGTGCAGAAATAAACAACTTGTCGGAGAAGCCTCGCCTCTCATTATGCAAATGGTTCTTGTAAATAAGAGTGACATGTGTTATATGAAAATAAAGGTGACGATCGAAATCAGGAAACGCCAAGATGCCAATGGGTTAGAAGTTTAAACGATGGAGTAATTTCTTGGGAGGGAGTGAGCAAAGCGTCTTGCCAGTTATGCTCTCATCACTCGCGCGCGGGTCGTTGTGCTCTCACGTCTCGCTCTGCCATTTCAAACCCAGAAGTTTCTCTCGTCGTCTTCCTCTTCGTCTACATCTTTCCATTTCTCACCTTGGTCAGGCCTCCAAGCGTGGAGGCAAAGTCCTCTCAACGAGAATCGTAGCTGGGGACCCAATGGTCCCGAACCCCAGCTTCTTCGGCTGCATCGACCACCGACGATGCGCATGATGCCCGGATTGGGGAAGCTGCTTCTTTGGCGGAGCTAGGCTCGCTGGTTCTTTCCACCAGTGATCCTCTCACCAAGTGCCGATTCTCTCATCTCGCTTACTCCAGGTGGCGCCGCGAAAACCTCCCTCTTGGGCAATTCACACACCCGCCACCCGACCTGCCCGACCCGAAAAACCCAAATTGGTTCGTTTTTCATTTTGGTTGCTATAACTTATGCGCTGTGGGATAGCTTTTGGGTTGCCAAAAATGACGAAGTGGATCATGTTTGTGGGGCTAATACATTTCTTTTTTGTTTATCAACGCAAGTTATTATAACTTCTAAGCAATTCACTCCCAAAAAAAAAAAGGAAGGAAAAACTTCTGGGCAAATTGTTCTAAAACATAAAAACATGGGGAGATTGTTGTTGTTGTGTTATTGTTACTGCTACTACTTCAGAAGGGATGACTACTTTTTGTTTAACACTCTAACTTGACCCAAAACTCGTAAACATTTGTCATTCCACTTCACTTACTCTCAATTACTTTTAACGCGGAGTATTCTCCACGTACTTGAATTCCTAGCGGTGATGAATATTCAATGAGCTAATGCAAGGTGGGGCCTTTGTGCTGCTTTGTTGGACTGCACGAGTTTTTGTCATGATTAGGCATGTGTAGAGAGTATTTTATTTTATCTTCATGCTGTGAAATGCAGTTTCCCTACTTAGGGAGGACTAAATTATTGCATGGGCTATTCCATGCCAATGCAGGTTTCTCCGAAGGAAATTCCTGATCCCAAAAGTTCAGGTTTGCCACTGAATGCTTATATGCTTCACACATTTGGCCCATGTTGAGCTCAATGCAATTGATTTGGCGTGGGATACGTTGTTCGGTTTTCTCCCTCCAGTGAAATTCTTGGGGAGGGATTCTTTGCTGACTTTGCTCATGTTGCTGATGATGAGAGCCGCCATTTTTCTTGGTGTTCTCAGAGGCTCGCTGAACTTGGTTTTAAGTAAGGATAGTTGCACTTTACGCTTTTTTTTCCCTCCCTCCCTAAAACATGGTTACAATGATTTATTTAGTATACTTTGTGCATACTAGATATGGAGATATGCCTGCTCACAATTTACTGTGGAGTGAGTGTGAGAAATCATCAGACAATGTTGCTGCACGTTTGGCAGTCATCCCATTAGTCCAGGTAACTTTGTTCCTCTTGTCCGGTCCTATTCTCAAGGACTTCTTTTCCAGTCTGTGGATTGTCTCGTTGGGTGGTAAGCGGCTTATTAAATTTGACAATGCATCTGTTTGCATGAGTCTATATGTTTTGTTATTCCATCTATCAATTAGAGATTATGTGACAAATAGAATGACTCATGCAGACTCTGCTGCTGATTAAGTGACACATCATAACTTTTGACCTTGAAATAAGTGTGAGCACTGGTCTTACTATTGGAACAATCCTGAGAATTCTGATTTCTCGATCCTCTTTTGGTGGCAAATAGCGGGCAGTGCTTGGAGAAAATTTTTTAAGTACTCCCTGAACATCGCCATCCTTGGATAAATGAGTAAAATATTGGTGTTTAATTGCTTATGATCAAGCATTCTGGAAGTGTTGCTCAAGGATTGTCACCACCTCCCTTGAGGAAATCCTAATCAAATGAAAATAAAATTGTCTTACCTTCATAGCTGGGTAGAAGGCTTTTCTTAAAAATATTTTTGAGTCATGGGGATTGACACGAATCCACCTCTGATCTTTTTCCCTCAGACATCACATGCTTCAGAGATAGAAGCGCTTTGATCTATATGATCTTGATGCTCTGAATGTACTAATTTATTTTACTTGTAGGAGGCTAGGGGCCTTGATGCTGGGCCACGGCTGGTGCAGAGTTAGTGGGATTTGGAGACAACAGGACATCAAAAATAGTCGCTAGGATCGCTGATGAAGAAGTTGCACATGTAGCAGTAGGTGTCTATTGGTTTTTATGTCTGTCAGAAATTGGATTGTCCCCCCTGACTCCACTTTCAAAGGTTTTTGAAAACCTACTAGATCTCATTGCATCTGCACGCTTATGTCCATATGGAAGGTTTACAAGCTTCAATACTATTTTGTACGACACCAGCAGACTTGCTAAAGGTGTACAATGTAGAACTGAAGGGTCCGTTTAATTTTTCTGCTCGAGATGAGGCTGGATCCCCGTGATTGGTAAGAACTTGTAGACTGAGCTTAACTTAGCCTATTCCAGATAGCTGACAGTTGGCAGTTTACTAATCCTCCTTCCTGATTCTTTGCTTTGTTGCTTGTGCTTGCCTCGTTTATTGTCTAGGTATGACCCATCATCTTGTGGCAGTCCTGAAAAGAGAGACGCAAATGACAGAAAAAACGAC